TTATATAAGTGATCTATTGCATCAAAAACAAATCAGCGGAGAAGATGATTCAACCCCTCTTAAAAAGTCCTAGATACTGTAACTCTAGGAAAAAGAAGTCAATGGCGCAAAGAGATGACGACACTGTGAAGAGCATGAAGCACGAAGGGGGGCTGTTGAGTTGGGTTTGCTAGGTTGATTGCACTACTGGCAGTGGGTTGCTGGGTTTGGGAATGGGGTTGGGTGGGTTGCTGGGTTGGGCTTGCTGCTGGGTTGGGTTGGGCTGCTAGGTTTGGATGGGTGTGGAGGCTGATGGTTGGTTTATGCTGTTTGTCTGAGTTGGGATTTCGGTGTGGCCGTGGGCTGGATTGAAGTTGGGTGTTGGGTGTTGTTGTTTGGCTTGATCGATTTTCAGTGGGTGGTGTTGTTTGGTGTTGGGTGTTGTTGTTGGGTGGCTGCTGGGTGGGTCAGGCAAGTTGCTGTGTAGATTTTTGGGTGTGTTGCTGGAATTTTGTGTCGGTGGGAGTGGCTTGTGTTTTTGGCTGGTTGGTTGCTGTTTGTTGGCTGGTTTCTGGGTGGTTTATGGGTTCTGTTTCTTCTGCTGAAGGTGCTGTGATGCTGCTGTTTTCAGTGGTTGGGCTGCTGGAGTGGTGGCTGCTAGTTTATGGCTGGTTTAGAGCTGTCACTGAAGGTGGATGGAGGCTAGGGTTAGGGTTAGGGTTTGACTCTGATACCAACTTGAAATATTTGTGAGTGGAAAAAAATTAATCAAACTAAGTGTAGAGTCCCGTATTTATAGCCAAACAATAGTACAAAGTGATCTAAACATCTTTGTGGTCTAGGCAAAATATAAAAGTCATAAGGGTAAAAAAGAGAAAAGAAACCCAAATAAACTAGACTGTATTCCAACAGATCTACCTTCATCTCTTACTGCTACAAGTGGAGGGGGCAATTACTATGGACCAAGGTGGAGGAGGTTGTCGAAGCAGGGTTGGTGGCTGAAATCTATGGCAAATTCGCTTGACAAAACTTCTGGTTTTGTTTGTTCATTTCTTAATTGCTCATGTTTTGGTATGGTCCATTTTTGGAGAGAATTATTATTGACTTGTTTGACAGTGGGTGCGGGTGGTTAGTCGGTGGACGCCTGGCGGGGACATGGTCAACATTATTATCTCAAGAAACAAAATAGAAGAGGATGAGAATGAGGGAGGGGCATTATAGTCATTAGACCAGGTCGTTTAGCAAAGGCAATTGTATGGATTAGTTACAAATCACAGGAGGGTTATTTGTTGTGTTTTCAAACCATAGGAGATGAAGTGCTACGAAGCCAAATCACATGGGTAACATGAAGTTTTCAATAAATACATGCAGATTCATTTGCTGTAATAAGCAGTAATGAACTTGTATTTTGTTCAACTTTTGAAATTTATGTCTTTTTAAGGAATTTAATTGGCATCTTGGATTGGTACAACTATATGATGCTTTATTTAATTGAAAAATAACTCCCAGTTCCATTAATGGGGTTTGGGAGGGGGTAGATTGGTTATGGGATTAACTTTTGGTATTATTTACATGAAGTGGCTCTTCATGTAAATCTATTCCACCTGTAGTTAGGATGCCCATTATTGTAGGGATCCAATTTTTTAGTGGAACATAAACTTCAAATGCTTTGTGTAGCTCATTCAGAAGCTTAGGTTAGACTTTTTGTTTTTATGGATTTATTAGTAAGCAAGTGACAACATGAGGTTGAGGTGAGATGATCATTTTCTCACTTTGAAAATGTTTGATTGCCAACAGGTGCACCTGGATATGTTACATCTACCTTTTTGAATGGAATGTCATTTGTGGAAGGGTGGCAACAAAATTTTTTTATATCAAAATGGAGCATGCACCAACTGGTATGAGTGTTGTACTTCTCCTTATGGGACCTCTTGTTTTGTTGAAGGTTTCTATTGTATTACTTCAATTTTGGGTCACCATATATATAGTTGAAATATATTTTGTTCCCCAAATAATGAGCTGTGTTAGTTTGGTCCCCAATCTTCTAGTTGTATCAATTTCATCCCTTAAGTTTTAATTTATGTCACTTTGGTCCAATTGAAAATTGTAGTTTAAATTGACTAATAGATATGACTATGATGTCATCTCACCAAGGATCGAAATATTTAGTTGTACCGTTTCGGTCAGCTCGAAAATGGAAACGTTTTAGGAACGCAATGAAAACGGAAAAAAAATCTGAAAATATGTGAAAATACAAATACAATCCATTTATTTATGAATATTAGCTTAGTGGGTTAACATCTACTTATACAAGATAACATCAAGTTGGAAGGGAAAAAATGCTTCACATGACGCATAAATCACCTCAACTAATTTTAAACACTTAATTTTAAATTGTGTCATCAAATTACTAAGTAATATTATTCCATTATTAATATTAAAATAATTGCATAAACAATTTCAGTTATGTAGCAAACAAGGTATATACCATGAAAAATTAATTGTAGCTATTTAACAACAAGGTTAATATACCAATTTAGCAAATAATAATAATAATATACATGAGTAAAAGGGAAATAAAGGAGGGATTTATAGCAAGAGTTATTAATAATGAATAAATTATAAAAGAAAAAAGGGGGCGGGGGCCGGAGGGCATTAACTTAATTAACAAATATAAAAGAGTTGACCAAAAAAAAAACCAAAGATAAAAAGAAAAAAAAGGGGGGGGGGGCGGAGGGGTTAGAATAGTTGATCGTTTCTCACTTATCAATAGAACAAGAGAGAGAGAGAGAGAGAGAGAGAGAGAGAGAAGATCTGAGACTTACCCGCATGGCTTGTGAGCCCCATCCCTATCCAGATCTGCAGATCTTAGAGAAAGAGGGTGCAATACCCATCCCATATCTGTAGATCAGAGCGAGAAAGAGCCTTTTTCTTTTATCATTTATTCATTTTTAATAACCCTTGCTATAATTTTTAATAACCCTTGCTTCTTTTTTTCCCATTTTCCTTTTACTCTGTATATTATTATTATTTGTTAAATTGGTATATTAACAATATTGTAGCTATTTAACAAGGTATATTGTTAATATATTAACAAACAAGGTATATTAACAAGGTATATTGTTAATATATTAATAAACAAGGTATATTAACAAACAAGGTATATTGTTAAAATACCAATTTAGCAAATAATAATAATAATAATAAACAAGAGTAAAAGGACAAAAGGAAAAAAAGGAAGGGGATTATAGTAAGGGTAATTAATAATGAATAAATGATAAAAGAAAAAAGGGGAGGGGTTAAAATAGTCAATCGTTTCTCACTTCATAGTAGAACACAAGAGAGAGAGAGGATTTGAGATTTATCTGCAAGGCTAGTGAGCCCCATCCCTATTCAGATCTACAACACTGAGAGAAAGAGGGTGCAACACCCATCCCACATCTGTAGANGAGGGGTTAAAATAGTCAATCGTTTCTCACTTCATAGTAGAACACAAGAGAGAGAGGATTTGAGATTTATCTGCAAGGCTAGCGAGCCCCATCCCTATTCAGATCTACAACACTGAGAGAAAGAGGGTGCAACACCCATCCCACATTTGTAAATTAGAGCGAGAAAGAGACTCGACGAAAACCCATTACAGAAGAAGGAAGAAAGAGAGAAGAAAAAGAAGAGAAAGGAAGAAGCTCATACCTAGAAGAGATTGGATCTGGATTGTGGGAGTGGAGGGTTGCTTAGATCTAGAAGTAAGTTGAACTTTCTCCTTCCTTCGATTTCTGGATGTGCTCTCTGTCTCTCTGTTTTGTTGAAGACGGGGATGATTGGGAAAAAATCTCTCCTCTTTTTTTTTTGGCTTGGAATGACAATTTTTTGAGGTCTGCCTCTGTCCAAAACAATGATGTTTCAATCCAAACACATGAATTTTTGTTTTTCACCCTTATTTTGTATCGGTGTGTTGAAAATCCAAAATGTTTCGGACATTTTGACACAATATTTCGATACTTGCATCTCACATGACCACACTTGAGGGTCATGCTTCGAACATGTAAGGGACTAAAGTGACAACTTGGTAAATTTGAATAACCAATTGAGACACATTGCAAACTTGAGTTACTAAAGTGACCCTTCAAGTGTGGTCACGTGAGACACTTGAAAACCTTAAATCGCCTTTTTGGTTGGATCAAACTGACACAAAATGAAAACTTAAAGGACTAAGATAAAACAATTGAAAGAATGAGGATCAAAGTGACATAGAATATACTTGAGGGACTATTACTATATTCGACCCCATAGATATCTTTTGTTTCTTTCATTGTGCTTTGTCTTTTTGATGAGAGTAATCTGCCATCAACTGGGCAGATCTTGTAGTATGAGTATTATGTGTTAGTGCCCTGATATTTATCAACCTGAGAATGTGCCAGACATTAATTTGCGATTAAATGAGCCTCTGGGTTGTGAAATTACTTTTCCTACAATTGTGAAGGAACCAACGCCCCCTTACACTCTCTCTTTGCCTTGTTGCATCTGCCTGGGGGACCAAGTGCAATCAGTATTTTGCTTCTATCACAAAAAATATGTTTATAAAGGTCTTTGCCTGGGCCCTGGTGTAAGCTCAGGGTGGTAACCATGAGGTTGGAAGTCAAATCTTGGTAGCCCCATCATGCTGAAAACTTGAAGTGACCACTCCGGTTAAAGGGACCAAATTGGTTATTTTGCGGCGAAAACTTAGTTTTTTTGACATTTGAATACAATATTGGTATCTAGTGAGAGAAGATTTTCATGTTGTAGCCAGCTCTACTGCATAGATTTTGTGCATCGTGCCTATGCTGGTTTGTTTTTTTCCCTTGGTTTTATTTATTAATTTTTTTGAGTGGATGTGAGCTATAATTGTCCTGTTGTCCAGTTAATGGAAGGGAAAAAATATTTTATTCTTGTTTATTCACTCTAGTTTACCTATATATTTCTTTTTCACATTTGTATCTTTAATGTTCCAGCTGATTGAATGTCCATCCATGTACGAATTGATGGCCTGCCCCGGTTTTCATTGGCACCATGTTCCGCTACTAGAAATTTGGAGGGAGAAGGACAATGGTGATGGAAACTCCTCCATTATGCTCGAGTCTTATTGCCCCGAAGAATCTGTATCAATTTTCATTGAAGCTCTACGGAATAACAAGGTTAGATTTGACCCCGTCTTGTGTCGAACTCAGATGAATGATAGTCAATAATATAGTCTCAATTGAATTTTTGATGCTTTTTTCTGTTTTCTATCATTAAGTTCATTATAACTTCAAACCATTAAACAACATATTTGGTCCTTGAGATGATGTGAGAGATGCAATGTAATTGGACTGTTGGACATTCTCTAGATATTGGTAATTTTAAAAAATGTCTTATTTTTCCGTTGTACATACTGCATATAATATTTACTGATAAAACATTTTACCAAACAATTTTTGGTTCAACACTGTTGAATGAAAGCCAATAATATAGTCTCAATTGAGTTTGTGATGCTTTTTCCTGTTTGGTATCATAAAGTTCAGTATAAATTCAAACCATTAAACAACATATTTGATCTTTGAGATGATGTGAGAGATGCAATATAATTGGAGATTCTATAGATATTAGTAATTTTGAAAAATGTCTAATTTTTCCGTTGTACATACTAAATATAATATTTATTGATTAACATTCTACCAAACGCAATTTTTGTCGGGGGAGTTGGTCTTAACTTAATCAGGTAAACAAATTTGAAATTTCACTGAAATTAAATCAAGGTTATGGACAAGCTATATCCTCTCCTGTTGATTGTTGTTTTATCTCTTTACTTGGTTTTTTATCTACAAAATTAGTCTGTATGATGTATTTCCATTGGTACAACTTACAGGTTAATTATGACGGGTTAAATATTCCTCTACCATTCAACTTAGAGATCTTGAAATGGGCTAATGAGACGCGAAAGGTGTTGTCTTGTGCCGAGGTTCCATCTCAAGTTAAATTCTACAATATATATGGGACTAATTTTGAGACACCTCATAGCGTATGGTAATACTTTCTTGAGGTTTTTTTTAGTAATTATTGATTCTACTCACAGTTGCTATGTTGCTGGAAGTCTCATGGCTCAAAATCTGTGGAATGAGAACATAGGTGGACATTTTGACATATCATTGCAGGAAGTGTTAGTCCTAAAATCTGTTTATTGCTTTGCAGTTATGGAAGTGACGATGCACCTGTAACTGATCTACAGCAATTACCATCTCTGCTGGTAGTTTTTTTTTCCTTCAACTTTATGTTGAGCATACTGTAATGGGATCTAGCTATCACTGCACTATTTGATATGCCTTCTAGTGTTTTGTTTCGCAGGTTTAATTAACATTGTGTGTGCGTTACTTATATATTTGCTTGTAACGTGTAGTTAAGATGCATTATCTTTGTACATTTTCAGGCCAAGTACATATGTGTTGATGGGGATGGGACAGTTCCATTGGAATCTGCAAAGGTATATTTTTTCTTTTTTCTTTTATCCCAAATCCTTCTGATTCCCTTATACTAAGCATTCCAAATTTTGTAACTAGTAACCTACCCTTCCAGTGGTGATCTAATATCAGTGTTTTCCTTGTTCTTTTGATTGAGGTTTCCATCCTATTAACAATGATTTTTTTTCCCCTCAAACTGATTTCCGAATTTATCTAAGGTTTTCAGCTACTGAGGTTCAAATAACGGATGCTGCTCCATGGTTTTTATTATTCCTCGATGTAGGTAGTTGGAAACTGAACAAGGAATATGGTTACGATGCTATAACTGGCAATATGAAATGGGAAATTACAATTTGAAGGATTATGTGTACTTTTGGTCTGGTCCAATAGTTAACAGCCGGTGACGAAGATACCGCACTTGCAGCTCACTTGAGTAGTTTACAGGGACAACCTACAAAAAAAAAAAAAAAGAAAAAGAAAAAAAGACCCAGTCAAACTTACCCGCTTTCTATCTCAGCATCCACCATGAGAGAAATTTTCCTAATTTTTTGTTTTACAAGACCAATATTTTTGAGAACCATAAGTTTTGGGTCTTTCTAGGGCATCCCCTTTAAATGAGCGAAGGTGCCGCATTTGTGTCACTTTGATGCGATAGTAATTGTGTAAGACGTAAGTCTCCTTTTGTTTAAGGATCATAAGATTTGGGTCTTTCTAGGGTATTCCCTTAAAGCGATGCGTTGCACTTGTGACTCCATGTCTTGAAAAATGAATTCGCTGCCTTTTAGTTGCCCGGATTTGGTAGAAAATGTTTTGAAAGCTCTAGCGTCACTCTCTGGGATGAATGCGGGGTAAAGAAGTTAATCTAGGATATGAACCNATTCTCTAGATATTGGTAATTTTAAAAAATGTCTTATTTTTCCGTTGTACATACTGCATATAATATTTACTGATAAAACATTTTACCAAACAATTTTTGGTTCAACACTGTTGAATGAAAGCCAATAATATAGTCTCAATTGAGTTTGTGATGCTTTTTCCTGTTTGGTATCATAAAGTTCAGTATAAATTCAAACCATTAAACAACATATTTGATCTTTGAGATGATGTGAGAGATGCAATATAATTGGAGATTCTATAGATATTAGTAATTTTGAAAAATGTCTAATTTTTCCGTTGTACATACTAAATATAATATTTATTGATTAACATTCTACCAAACGCAATTTTTGTCGGGGGAGTTGGTCTTAACTTAATCAGGTAAACAAATTTGAAATTTCACTGAAATTAAATCAAGGTTATGGACAAGCTATATCCTCTCCTGTTGATTGTTGTTTTATCTCTTTACTTGGTTTTTTATCTACAAAATTAGTCTGTATGATGTATTTCCATTGGTACAACTTACAGGTTAATTATGACGGGTTAAATATTCCTCTACCATTCAACTTAGAGATCTTGAAATGGGCTAATGAGACGCGAAAGGTGTTGTCTTGTGCCGAGGTTCCATCTCAAGTTAAATTCTACAATATATATGGGACTAATTTTGAGACACCTCATAGCGTATGGTAATACTTTCTTGAGGTTTTTTTTAGTAATTATTGATTCTACTCACAGTTGCTATGTTGCTGGAAGTCTCATGGCTCAAAATCTGTGGAATGAGAACATAGGTGGACATTTTGACGTATCATTGCAGGAAGTGTTAGTCCTAAAATCTGTTTATTGCTTTGCAGTTATGGAAGTGACGATGCACCTGTAACTGATCTACAGCAATTACCATCTCTGCTGGTAGTTTTTTTTTCCTTCAACTTTATGTTGAGCATACTGTAATGGGATCTAGCTATCACTGCACTATTTGATATGCCTTCTAGTGTTTTGTTTCGCAGGTTTAATTAACATTGTGTGTGCGTTACTTATATATTTGCTTGTAACGTGTAGTTAAGATGCATTATCTTTGTACATTTTCAGGCCAAGTACATATGTGTTGATGGGGATGGGACAGTTCCATTGGAATCTGCAAAGGTATATTTTTTCTTTTTTCTTTTATCCCAAATCCTTCTGATTCCCTTATACTAAGCATTCCAAATTTTGTAACTAGTAACCTACCCTTCCAGTGGTGATCTAATATCAGTGTTTTCCTTGTTCTTTTGATTGAGGTTTCCATCCTATTAACAATGATTTTTTTTCCCCTCAAACTGATTTCCGAATTTATCTAAGGTTTTCAGCTACTGAGGTTCAAATAACGGATGCTGCTCCATGGTTTTTATTATTCCTCGATGTAGGTAGTTGGAAACTGAACAAGGAATATGGTTACGATGCTATAACTGGCAATATGAAATGGGAAATTACAATTTGAAGGATTATGTGTACTTTTGGTCTGGTCCAATAGTTAACAGCCGGTGACGAAGATACCGCACTTGCAGCTCACTTGAGTAGTTTACAGGGACAACCTACAAAAAAAAAAAAAAAGAAAAAGAAAAAAAGACCCAGTCAAACTTACCCGCTTTCTATCTCAGCATCCACCATGAGAGAAATTTTCCTAATTTTTTGTTTTACAAGACCAATATTTTTGAGAACCATAAGTTTTGGGTCTTTCTAGGGCATCCCCTTTAAATGAGCGAAGGTGCCGCATTTGTGTCACTTTGATGCGATAGTAATTGTGTAAGACGTAAGTCTCCTTTTGTTTAAGGATCATAAGATTTGGGTCTTTCTAGGGTATTCCCTTAAAGCGATGCGTTGCACTTGTGACTCCATGTCTTGAAAAATGAATTCGCTGCCTTTTAGTTGCCCGGATTTGGTAGAAAATGTTTTGAAAGCTCCAGCGTCACTCTCTGGGATGAATGCGGGGTAAAGAAGTTAATCTAGGATATGAATCNTTCAGTTTATTAAAACATTTCAATAGAAGAAAAAAGATGCATAAAGTTATTTTTGCTATAGAAAATTCTCTTATTTCGCTGAAAATTAAAAATAGCCATTAGGTTTGATTTCAGGAGTGACAATTACCAAAAAGTCTTCCATTTTCACTGACTTCTATTTTTTGTTTAGATGTTGAACCAATGAAGTTGTTTATTCAACAGTCTCTTAACTTTTCAGTCTGTCCTCTATGTCTGTCTCTCTCTATTAAGTTAAGCTCAAAATACTTCAATTTTCATACTCCTCCTCACTACATCCACAAGGGTTGATGGCCAACCTTTTTTTTTTTTAACCATTTTCAATGCTCAGACTGTAGTTTCTCAAGTTCTAATCATATCTCCAAGTTTTATGTTTTGTATAACACTTCCATCTACATATATGCTAGGCTTGCATATATTTTGTCTCGTTTTTTTTCAATTTGTAGGATCTTAGGGATTTTGATCCCAATCTTGTAGTCTTCCCCATCGATTCAAGGTGGGATCCTAATTTTAAAACCTTGGTAAGAGTAGTTAAGTAGAAAACATATGCCGATTTTTATTGTAAGCTACACAGAAAAGAAGGAAGCGAAGTACATATAGACTTGTTAAGATTAAGGGAATGAAAAATTGGGGATGTTAATATGGTTGTGTTAAAAATGAGGATTCAAGTATCTTAATAAAAAAAGGAGGAAATCAAATAAAGATGGAAAAGTTACTTTGACAACTTATTAAATGAAATCATATGGGAAACTTATGTGTCAAACAATATGATAATCATAGGAAAATTAACAAAATTAAGTTTTTTTTTCCCTAGAATAAGGATGTCTGAAGTAAAAACAATGCTTTATGAACATTGAAAATTGAAAAAGCTTTGGATTGGATGGTGTGTCAATTAAGGTTTGAAAGCGTTTAGAAGATATCAGAGTATTTTTACTAACTAAATTACTTATTGAGATTGTAACAACTAATAAGATGTCGTGCGAGTGGAGGAAGAATATTTTAAGAACCATACATAAAAATAAAAGGGAAATTCAGTGTTCAAACATTATCAAGGTGTTAAGATAATGAGTGTTACAATAGAACTTTGGGAGGGATTAATCAAAGCACGATTAAGCCTTGCAAAAACCGTATTTAGAAATTAATTTGTACTTGTGTTGGGGAGTTGAACAATGGAAGAAGGTATATACTTGGGGCCTGTTTGTTTGCAGTATTAGATTTGGACGGTATTAGAAATCATTCCAATTTCACTCCTATCCAATGATATACTATACCCAGTCTTAAACTTTTATCCCATCTTTTCGCTTGTTTGTTTGTTCAATAAGTATTATAGTGGGTCCTACAAACAACCATCTATTCTATCACATCTTATATAACAAATATACCATTTTACCCTTAACATCTCCATTCCATTACTCCGTTTGTGTAACGCTTTTGCACAATATTTGGTATAATAAATAATCTAATGCTATGAATCGGTGATACCGTAAAAAAAAATTTAAAAAAAAAAATTTTGNACCATTTTACCCTTAACATCTCCATTCCATTACTCCGTTTGTGTAACGCTTTTGCATAATATTTGGTATAATAAATAATCTAATGCTATGAATCGGTGATACCGTAAAAAAAAATTTTAAAAAAAAAATTTCGNAAAATTTTGTGATATCATAAGCTTAAACATAATATAAGAAAAAAAATTCAAAATAATTTTAAAAAAAAACTACTAACACCGTACGCTTAAACATAATATAAGGAAAAAAATTTAAAATAATTTTTTTAAAAAAAAATTAAAAAAATACCGTTAATACCGTACGCTTAAACATAATGTGCGTGCACGTTCTTGCACAATATAAACAGAAGAACAGATCTCTTCTGTGGTGAACACGAGTCCGTCGATCAAGTGGTCAATCTTGCTACTTGGAATAGGTTGTGAGGGCCGAAGGTGGCCTATGAAGTGATGATGGATTGTTTTTATGGGTCGCCTGAATGGTCTTGGGAGGCTAAGAGAGATTTTTGGAACAGAGAAAAACAAGTTAGAAGGGCGCTGAAGTATTTTTCGGCGTATCCCCTCCGACGATCAAGTCAGTTCTTTGAAAGAAGAGAAGAAGAAAACACTATATCATCCTTGAGAAAGGGTTTTTGCTTACCTTTTTAATGTGTTTATGAGGACTATTTATACCTTATAAAATTNTCTTGGGAGGCTAAGAGAGATTTTTGGAACAGAGAAAAACAAGTTAGAAGGGCGCTGAAGTATTTTTCGGCGTATCCCCTCCGACGATCAAGTCAGTTCTTTGAAAGAAGAGAAGAAGAAAACACTATATCATCCTTGAGAAAGAGTTTTTGCTTACCTTTTTAATGTGTTTATGAGGACTATTTATACCTTATAAAACTCATCATTGCCGACAGCGTAGCTAGTAGGTAATCATTAGAGGTGGGCAGTGTGCACACTAATTTCTATGAGAAATGTTCTCATTCTTAACTGCTCGGGACCCTGAATAACTAATGCCTTCTCCTCGGTCTGCTGAGCGTTTAATGACCTTCTCTCGGTAGGGATGTATTAAATGCTCAGGCATGAGAACATTTATTACCTTTCACTTTCAGGCTCTTATGCATTAAATGCTGTCTCATCGAGTGAAGGGTGTATTAAATGCCTGACCTCCCAAAGCTGTGTGTCAGCAAGAATATTTTGGTCTTTTCGTCTCTGACCTGACACAATATGCCATGTGCCCATTTCCCTTTGGTTGAGCCTTCTGCTTCCTTGTGCCTCCTGACACCATTTGAGTAGCACGATGTTATGATGCCTAGTCTAGCCTAGCCTAGGCTAGTAACCTATCAATAAATAGCCCCTGTAAGAGCAAAAACGNTGCTTCCTTGTGCCTCCTGACACCATTTGAGTAGCACGATGTTATGATGCCTAGTCTAGCCTAGTCTAGGCTAGTAACCTATCAATAAATAGCCCCTGTAAGAGCAAAAACGCCACGTGGGCAGATATACCTCGGTGCCGAGAGACTAGCATAATTAGGGACTGATATCTCNCGCCCACGTGGGCAGATATACCTCGATGCCGAGAGACTAGCATAATTAGGGACTGATATCTCAAACTGACCGAGGGATACGTGTCGGTCCATGGCGTATTGGAGATCCTTGATCCCTGTGAATAGTACCCTCGGGGAAGAGGGTTATAGACCGATGAGGACGTGTTGGGATCACAGCAGAGAGTCTCCATTGGCGCTGAGTACACGTGTCGTCATCTTGGTGTGTCTGAAAATGTTCCATCAATTGCCCCTCAGCCTTTGATCTTCTGACGTAGAGGACACACGTCGTAAGAAGACAAAGGCTTCTGCAACTGCCCCAACCACCCCATCATTTCTTTCAGCCGTTTTTCGCTGCTTAAGAAGTTGTGCGCATTAAATGCGCCTTTTCGTGCTTCGTGCCCAATGATGGGGACGGGCTCTATATAAACGGGCTCTCTCTCTTTTCCACACTTTTACCATTTCGAACTCTCAGAGAGCTTTTGTCGGAAACTTCTTTGGAGACCTCCTTGTCACATCGTCTACCAATCAGTCATCACCGGAGTTTAGACCAGCAAACCCTCTCGAGAAAGGAACCACTCCAAATTCTTCAGAAATCTTCATTTGCATTCTGGTGAGTCCTTGCATCCTCCTTCCCATCCTTTTTCTTAGTTTTGCTTTTCATTTTCCGATAATCGGAGGTGTTTCTGGTTGTCATCGTTTGACCAACCCTCAAGAAACCTCTTGGGGTTCTTTGTAGGAAAACTCTTTTTCCTTCTCCCCCCCCTTTTTTTTTATTAGAGATGCCCCGACGCCGTTCTGCCATCGAGGCCCGCCAGGCTAGTTCCTCGAGGCCAGGGAAGTACAAAGTGAAGGGAGACTAGCAGATCAATAGGTTTAGGGCCCGATATCACATCCCCCAAAATGTAGGTATAAAAGAGTACGACCCAATTTTGCATAACCGTAATCTTGGGGCCGAGGATGAGATGCCCTTTTACACCAAAACAATCATAGAGGGTGGAATTAGGTTCCCCTACCNAAAAGAGTACGACCCAATTTTGCATAACCGTAATCTTGGGGCCGAGGATGAGATGCTCTTTTACACCAAAACAATCATAGAGGGTGGAATTAGGTTCCCCTACCTCCTCTAGTTCCTCTCCCATTTCAACCTCTTCGAAGGGTAGTGTTGCCTTAATGTCTTTAGGGTAATTATGGGGGTCCTAGAGCTTAATAACCGCCTCGGGGTAAACATTGGGCTCAACGATATCCTTTTTTGCTACTCCTTGTTAAGGGTCATGCCCCAGTGGAACTTCTACCTCAAAGCCAGGGATACATACATATACCTTGTAACTCACCTCCCTGATTCGGACAAAGGGTACAAGGATGACCTTTTGATCTTCAGTAGATCTTGGGAGCGGGGAACCGGTCCCGAGTACGATGGTCTAAAGTGCCCTCCNTCACCTCCCTGATTCGGACAAAGGGTACAAGGATGACCTTTTGATCTTCAGTAGATCTTGGGAGCGGGGAACCGGTCCCGAGTACGATGGTCTAAGGTGCCCTCTTGAATGGAGAACGACAAGTACGTTAGCTTCTTCAAGTCCAATTTTTTACTGTCCTTGGAATATTTTGCAAGTGTTAATAACCTTCTTTTTTGTGCAGACATTTCCGCCCGGGAAGTCGCTCCACCTCCTCGGTCTTTGGTAAACTTTGCCGACCTCATCACCGTTTGGGAGTTTATCGGCGACGACGGGTTTGGTCGGGCCGCTCATCTTCTTTTGAACTACATAGCAGGGTACAAGAAGTTTTCACAGCTCCCCCAACCTTTCGACCTTTCGCAGTGGTCTGAACTCTTTAATCCGACAGCACAAC